CATTAATATTGAACTTATTATCATTTTGAATTTTAAATAAGGGTTAGTTTTTTACATTAATAGAAGTAAAATAGTAAAAATTGAAATGAATAGGACATATGTTTAAGTTTTGAATGAATTTGGCTCTGTTAATGGTTTGGTACTCACTATTAAGGAAGAGATGAAGTCGAGCAAAATTAAATGCAACTTTATAGCGATTAGGAGTAGAATAAGGTGGAATTAAGTTGTGAAATATAAAATCTTTGAATAGTTAAGTTTAGTAAATAGAATATAGGTGAATTTAAATAAATATTTTTAAAAAAAGTATGTAATATCTCAAATGGAATGGTAATATCTTTGTTAACAGATGAGTGTTGTTCATAGATTAGTTCAGTTAAAAACTTGTGTTGTTGTCCTGCCATTTGTTTGATTAAGTAGTTGAAGCTGTATTTAATATCTGGTCTGTTTACTTTCCTGTTGATTTGTTTTGGAGCGAAATCAACAAGAAAAGGTTTAACAAATTCAAAGATTTGTTGAGCAAGTGGTGTGTTGAATTTAGTAAAGAGCTCCATTGTGGAGATAATAGGATAGGTTTTAAACTAATCAAAATCATTGGATATATCTCGTTTAGGTTGCTTAGTATTTTGTTTTTCTTTAAGTAATTGCAAGAAGTTTTTAAAAAATTTTTGTTTTGCAGTTTTCTTCATTAGGGCAAATTTGATTGTATAAAATGCATAGCATACATTAGATATAAGTGGTTGAGTTTGAGGAATAGGTTGGAGTTTGAGTTTGTGAATATATGTGATATGAGCTAGATAACCTCTAAGGACTAAAGTAGTTTTACTCAAGAATGTATATTTGTTGTCTTTTAGAAATGCATAAGGAATATCTTTAAGTTTACAAATAATATATGTATGAGCATGGTGAGACTATGCTTGTATTTGAGATATCTCAGATGATTTGCCAGATGTTGTAGTAGCAGAGTAGTTGAGTGGAAATGGAAGAGTAAGAACAGATGTAGATTTGATAATAGAGATTGTAAGATATCATCTTTTAGGCTTTTGACTTGTTTGGAGTTAAATCAATATTTATTGTTTTAAGTTGTTGAGGAGGGGGAGTGGCATGTCTGAGTGGAATCTTAAGTAGTCTGAAGTAAAGAAGGTATGGTATTTTTGACAGAAGCAATGAATAGTAGCTGGTTCTTCAGATATGTAGAAGTAATGGAAAGTTTTAAGAGCATTACATTTGCTAAGATTAAATGCAAAAAGTATTGCTTTCAGTGAACTAGATTGAGTGTTGCGAATCATTGTGCCATATCGGTCACTATATTTGTTATGGAAGTAGTCCAGATCGAAATAGTCTGGTTTCTAGTCAGTTAAAGTATGCATTTTAATAGTAGAAAAATTCTAAGTTTTACTAGAAAAAACTTATTTTATTAAATTTAACTAAGTTGTTTTTAGAGGTTAAACTAAAAACAAGAGTTAAATAAATTGTGGCTAGTGTGGCTGGGTAAGTATAACCTTGTATAATCTTGTATAACAATAAGATAAATATTTTGTGGCTGATGTAGCTGTTGTGCTTGTATGATCTGGTATGATGTAATGATAGTGTAATATAAGTTGTATAAAGTTATTAAGACTTAAATAGTAAATTAAAAATAGAGATAAAAATAAATGAAACAAATAATGTTTTTGTGTAAATTAATTAGTAATAGTGATTTATAATAGTGATTTGCAGGTTTGGGCGTCCTAAAGGGCCAGGATTCCTCCAAAAAAACAAAATTTTTGCAAAAAAATAGCAAAAAATTTTTGCAAGAGAGTTTGCAGAGTTTTGAAGATAAAAGTGTGAGTTTAAGTCTGTTTGTTATATATTAAAGTAAAAGGGGGTATTGTGGCGAAGAGGGGTATTGTGGCGAATTTGGTTTATCTCATTTCTAATGATCAAATTGGTTAATTTTTATATCATTTGAATTGTCTCATTGAGACGAATCGAATAGTAATTAGAACATCTAATTCTAATCACTAGATCACGAGATATTAATGATTATATGCAATGCCAAAATAAACTTGAGGGAATTATAATAAAATTTTGGTGCTTTACATAATCGCAAATATCTCGTGATCTAGAGATCAGAATTAGATGATCTGACCACCATTCGATTCATCTTGATGAGACGAATTGAATAGTACAAAATTATCTAGTTCGGATCATTAGATTACAAGATAACCTAAATTCGCCACAATACCCCCAACCCCCTCTAAAATTTAACTTTTTGTTCGATATACAACTCTAAGCATTGCTTCTTCGAAACAATCTTCTATATTACTAATTTTTATAAAAATAATTCTAAATAAATATACAATCTAAATAAAAAATAAAAAATTATTTTTATAATAAAAATAAAAAAAAATTTATATTAATTTTTTCAACTTCGCCAACATACCCCCTTTTACCTTATATACGTAGTTTATAGTTTATTTAATTGAGTATATAGTTTATTTGTAATTGATGACTCTTATATAATATGTACTAATTTATATATGTAAGTTAAATTTTAGCTATCGCTTACATAATTATTACATTGCCCATCCCTAGTTTAGGGACTCCCATATTAAACGAAATAAATAAACTTTTCGACGACAAAAATCATTATTATAGATTTATCGGAAATGAAATAAAGTCGATTTGAAATAAATACGTTATCCATTTCTATCAAAATGAAACCCCCTTGCTATTATGTATCTGTCTAATGAATTTTAAATAAAGATTGGACCCGTTGAGACAATCTCTACCCTGGTGTTATGGCAAGTTATTATATATTTCGGGTAATAATTTCAATCCCTAATTTTAAAACATGAAAGACGACTTTAAGTACTGAGTGAATTTTAAAATATAAGAACACCTTGATTTATTATATGCAAAGTACGTCTTGGTATACCTCAAAAAAAAAAAACATGCGTACGTGTACTATACATACGTACAGTACATCCCGAGAGAATGAAATAAGTTACATACGTATCAATATATTTGAATTAATGAATGTCGGTCAATTAGAACACACAATTCACCAGTACATTGTAATCATTTTAATTAATTGTTTATTCAAAAACAAATATTTCATAGGTAACAACAAAGCCACGTATGTACAGTAGGCTCACAAAGTATAACACGGTTACACAAAAACATAATTAAAAAACATAACAAAAATTTATACAAATCAACAATGTTAATACGTATACGTACGTACGTATGCTTTTTTGCATAAATTTTGTTATGTTTTTTAATTATGTTTTTGTGTGACCGTGTTATACTTTGTGAGCCTACTGTACATGCCTACACACCTAAATTATCATTATCTAGCTATATACTTCATTTTATCATTTTATATATCATTTTATCATTTTTATCACTGATCTCACATTTCATTAGTGTTACAAGATGATCTTAAAGCGGAAAATGAATACAAAGATGGATAGTCTAGTTTGTATACTTTTTGTAGAAGTCGTGTTATAACAATATTTTTTTATGAATATTATAGTAAATTTACTAAATAATATTTAAATGAAGCTACATACGTAACGTACGTACTGTACTTTACATACCGATACGCGCGTATTTACGCTTATCTTTGTGCGATAATCTTACATTTTAAACAAATAAGATAATCTTTGGGTATCTTATAGATGATCAATTCCGGATTCAGAGTCAAACTTTTGTTAACGCTAAACCTTTAAATAACTGGTAATCTTTGATCTACTGCTAGTTTGAATTACTACGTAGGGTGAATCTTTTAATTTTAAGGATCGGAAGTTACGTGAAAACCAGAAGATTTAATTGGCTCCAGACTTAAAATATAGTAAATATATCAATATATATAGTAGGATTCGGTGAATAACCCATATTCGAATGCCCGACCGATGATTACATTTCGGTTATGTTAACGGTTATCATTGTATGCAACACTAAAAACTATATAAAAATTGCTTTCCACAAAAGACAATTAGACAATTAGAACTACAAATAAAAATGACGAAGCCACCAATATATTCAGTCGAGCTGCCTAATACAAGGAGACCTGGACAAACGGGGATTTATCGTAATGCGATTCACACTGAGTCTCTGACTGATTCTTCAAGGTTTATAATGTTCTCCTAATTCACCATATCATGTATGAAGAAAATTTATGTACAACCTATTATTGACAAGCGAATTCTTTTTACAGTCCCGAAGTTAAAACTCTATATGACAATTTTCAATGCGGTAAAAATAAAAAGTTTGAATTACTTGGAATTAGTCCCGCCATTTTCGTTACTGACTGTTATTTTTTATCTTTTTTATCTTTTTTATCTTTTTTTATCTTTTTTTATCTTTTTTTATCTTTTTTTATCTTTATAGGATTTAAAATATCAACTGACCGAAATTGTATTGCACATCGACCTTATAATAAGATATCTAAACGATATGGAGGTTATGTTTGGCAGACCTACAGACAAGTCGCTGAGCGTATGACCAACTTTGGTTCTGGACTTTTGCACTTGAGTGAAACCGTATGTTTGATGGTTTAAATAAATTTCTTTAATATAGGTTAACCTAAGTGAAATAACTTTATTTTCTTTTCGCCTATAGGTTGTAAAGAATCCTAAGGTGAAGCAATGGTGTGTCGGAATCCATTCAAAAAATAGGCCTGGTAAGAAAATAATAACATATTCCACATTTTGTGAAAAAATCCAACAATCTGTTCAATGTTTTTTTTAATTATTCTGACCAATGCTCTTTAATTACTAAGAATGGTTCATTACCAATCAGGTATTTACAATTTGCAATTATTAACTTTTTAACGGTTTTAACGTGTTTAACGTGTTTAACGTGTTTAACGTGTTTAACGCGTAAATGTGGAAATTGTATCCTAATTATCTACACATTTAAAAAATTCAGGCGGCTATTGCTTATAATCTCATCACTGTTGCGATCTATGATACTTTTGGCCCACGTAAATAAATATTTCTCTTCTCTATTCGACTATGATTAATTTGACTATGATTATTGAGTATAATTATCTTCTTTTTTTAGAGGCTGTTGAATATATCATAAATCATTCTGAAGTTCCAATTGTGGTTGCTGGCGCTAATCACATCCCTGAACTTATTCGAATTGCGCCAAAGATTCCCGTAATGAAAGTAATTATTTCAATGGATGAATTTGACGACGGTGCCGCTGCACCTGCGCCTATTGATTCAGTTTCTACTGGAAAAATTTTAAAGGCGTGGGCACGTGATAATGGCATTTTATTATTGGACTTTAATGAGGTTGAAAAATTGGGCCAACAACATCCTCGTAGACATAATCCTCCTTCTCCGAGTGATCTTGCTTTTATTTGTTATACTTCAGGTACAACTGGTACTCCAAAGGGTGCTATGCTTACTCATTCAAATTGCATCGGTGCGAGAAACGGCTTCGATTTGTCCTGGAGGGTTTTTCCAAATGATGTATGTGTCTTATTTAGCATAATTATATGATAATTGTATAACTTGTATAATGTGGCTTTTATTTATTCTTCTTTATCTATGTCCCTACATTTATTTTTCAGGTCCTTATTTCATATTTACCGGTAATTTCTTAAAATTTATTATTCCTTTTTATTTATCTGTTAATTAATTAATTAATTAGTTAATTAAATTTTTTTTATTTTTATTTATGTCTTGATTGCTTTTATATTATACTTTTATATTATACTTTTAATTATACTTTTATACTATACTTTTAATTATACTTTTATACTATACTTTTAATTATACTTTTATACTATACTTTTATACTATACTTTTATACTATACTTTTATACTATACTTTTATATTATATTTTTATATTATATTTTTATATTATACTTTTATATTATATTTTTATATTATATTTTTATATTATACTTTTAATTATACTTTTAATTCTATTTTTATACTATATTTTATATTATGTTTTTATATTATATTTTTATATTATATTTTTATATTATACTTTTAATTCTATTTTTATATTATACTTTAATTATATTTTTAATTATATTTTATATTATAGCTTGCTCACGTATTAGAACTTGGGGCTGAAATGCTAATGATTTCCGGCGGTGCCAGTATCGGTTACTTTCGTGGTGATGTACTTAATCTTATTGACGACATTGCTGAACTTAAACCTACCATTTTTCCTTCTGTTCCGCGTTTGCTTACGCGTGTGCATGCTAAACTTCAACAAAATACCGTGTATGCTCCTGGAATTAAAGGCGCATTATCACGTAAAGCTATTGCTGCAAAACTTCAAAATTTAGAGGATGGAAAAGGTTATACTCATGCCTTTTGGGATAGAATTATATTCAACAAGATAAAACAAGTTCTAGGCGGTCGTGTAAGAGTAATTCTTACAGGCTCTGCTCCTATAGGTCCTGAAATATTACAATTCTTGAGAGTTGCTTTTGCTTGTGACATAGCTGAAGGTTAGTATGTTCTTTTTATTGCCCCGAAAAGTGGTCAATAACTGACTTATTCCACGGTATCTTTATACTTTAATTAAAAGCTGCGTATTTCGTAAAGGTTAATTTATTGTTCACAACTTTTTTTGTCAATATATTAAAAAAAAGTCATTAAGATATTAGAACCTTTAAAAACACGTTAAATATTCAAAATGAAAATATAAATCAGAACCGTGGAATAAGATACGAATGTATGGGTGTATGGTGCATAAGTGTATTGTTGCATGAGTGTATGGGTGTATGAATGTATGGGTTTATGGGTGCATGAGTGTATGGGTTTATGGTTTATGGGTTTATGAGTGTATGAGTGTATGGGTGCGTGAATGTATGGGTTTATGAGTGTATGGGTGCGTGAATGTATGGGTTTATGAATGTATGAGACTTTTTCTTAAATTTATCCTTCATTTTAGGTTATGGACAGACTGAAGGTGTTGCTGCTGCGACTATTACCTTAGAGGGTGAGAATAAAGTTGGACATGTGGGAGGTCCTCTTCCATGGTAATTGTCTTTCGTTATTTGCTTATTTATATATGTTTATTGATTTAATTATATTTTTATTTTATTTTATTTTTATTTTATTTTTATTTTTTTATTTTTTATTTATTAGTAATGAAATTAAGCTTGTAGATGTACCAGAGATGAATTATTATTCAACTGATAAACCTTATCCTCGCGGTGAACTTTGCTATCGCGGTCCAAATATCTTTGTTGGTTATTATAAAGATAATGCTAAAACAAAAGAAACAATTGATTCGGAAGGATGGCTTCATAGTGGTGATGTTGCATACGTTAATGAAAGAGGTGATTATTTTTCGTTGATAAAATTTTTAATCAAATAAATAAGTCATTAACGGTAATAATTATGGTATTAATAATTGTGACTTTATATTTAATAGGTGCATTTGGTATAATTGATAGAAAAAAAAATATATTCAAGCTATCTCAAGGTGAATACGTTGCCCCTGAAAAAGTAGGTTTATCAACGTAATTCTGTAATTCTGTAATTGTATAATAAACAGAATACCGTATATATATATATATTTATTTATTTATTTATTTATTTGTTTAATAATTATTCTCTTTTTATTGATAAATAGCTCGAAAATGAATATGTGAATTCAAACTTGATACTTCAAATATTTGTCCATGGTGATTCTCTTCGCAATTATCTTGTTGCTGTTGTTGTACCGGACCCTGAAACTTTTGTACCGTGGGCAAATGCATTGACCAACCAAAACGTTTCGTTGGGTGATGAAAAAGGATTAGAAATTCTTGTTAATGACAAAACTGTGAAAAGTGCTTTTTTGGAGCATATGAATGAGATTGCAAAACAATCGAAACTTAAAGGGTTAGTATTATTACATAATACTGTACTATACATATGTATATATATATGTTTTCATTTTATAAAATTATGCTTTCCTGCATTCTTTAGTTTTGAAACTGTTAAAGCCATTCATCTCTCTGGTGTTCCATTCTCAATTGAAAACAACCTTTTGACTCCAACGTGAGCTTTTTTTTTTTTCATAATATTCCCATTTACTCTCATTTTTGATAATTAACATTTAAAAATTTTTTTTTTTAGTCTGAAACTTAAACGTCATGAAGCTCAAAAACATTTTCGTAAAATTCTTGATAAATTGTATGCAGAAAGTGGAAATGAACCCATAATTAATAATGTTAAATCCAAATTGTAATTTATGAAATATATAGATTTAATACGTATATATGTATCGTATATAGTTTTTATATAGTATTTTATACATTTTATAATAAGAATCTAAAAAATAAACAAAATTGATATTGATTGGCTAAATTCTTGGCACAGCAAATATCGTATTTATCGTCGAGTTAAATTAATTTAAATGTGTGATGATCGATAATTTTATCATCGTTTTTTAGTTTTTTTTCGTTATTAATAAAGTTGAAAACAATGTCTAATATTCTTGCCGTTGATTTCAAACACACTGAGCGTATTGCTCTCAAAACTACTCTCAGAGATTATATTTCCTATTCCTATGATGAACATCCAGACATATACACTGACGATTTACGCATTCTTGACGAGCTTAGAACTGATTGTTTGAATTTGGAGGTACACCAAAATGCACTATATCGGCTGCAAAAGTGGGTTACCTGACTTTTTTTTTTCTCTTTGATCTCACTGAAGAGAGAAACTTTGGATCCAAAACTTGTTCAAACGATTAAATCTTATCCTTCAGATATTATGGGCAACTAGTTTTCATTGGTGCTAAATTTCCAATTGACGTAGGTCAAAAAAACGTTTTTAAATATTATCCAAATTTTGATTTTTTTTGACCTTTGTACGTCTTCATAGGTAGGCATAGAATTTCCCTGGTATCCAGCTTTTCCAAATAATGAAAAAAAACCGGGTATGTTTTATAATACGCATTATTATGTTTATGTGTAAAAGAATGCTTTTGTTGAAAATATTAAATATAATTCTTACAATTCTTTTTGTTCATATTATTAAGTTGCACATAAAAATTTTTACTATGAGAGAGCTTGTGTACTATTTAATATTGGTGCCATGTATAGCAAGCTCGGCATCTCGGAAAGCAGGTTAACTCCCGAAGGTGTCAAAAGGGCGTGTCAATATTTTCAAGTAATTTAGAAATTCTCAATTTTCGTTTTTTAAAATAATTGTTGAGATCCATTTGTGAAAACTATTTAAATTTTTTTTTAAATTTAGAACGCGGCTGGTTGTTTCAAACATCTGGATAATGTAGTAGTACCAGAAATGAGAATACCGCCAGCACCAGATATGTCATCTACTGCTTTAAATGTTCTTATGAATATTATGTTAGCACAAGCTCAAGAATGTTTTTGGCAAAAAGCTGTATATGGTGAATAGCGTATAATCCTTGTTATTTTTATCAAAATTATTATTTTTTTTTTAATTCAATTTATATTTATAATTCATATAATTTATTTCCAATTGACTATCAATTAAGAAAAATTAAAGGATGGAAATGTGGCAAAATTAGCAAATCAGGTGTCTACATACTATGAGACTGCATTTGAATTGGCGACAAATAATTCAGAAGTTTCAAAATTAATAGGTCAAGTATGTTATGATTCTTCTTAAAATGTGATGTGATGTGTTTTAGATTAAAAATTTTTTTAAACCCCTTTTTTTATAAAATTAATGAATTTGATATTATTTATTAATCTAGAATTGGCTTACACATTTGCAAGTAAAATCATGGCATTTTGCCGCTGCTGCTGAATTTCGCAAATCTTGTGAATGCATTAGCCAAAATAAGTATGGTGAAGAAATTGCGAGGTTGCGAGTAGCTGAGGGGTACGTGAATCGAGCATTTGATCAACGTAAAAATTTAAGAGAAGCTGTAATAAAAGATTTAGAGGTCAGATAAATAAATCAACATTGTAAATATTTTTACACATCAAATTTATGAATAACTTCTAACATTAATATTATTATGATTTTTTTTAGTCATTACATACAGTTGTTACTTCAAATCTTAGCCGTGCTGTAAAAGATAATGATATTATATATTTAAACACTATTCCTTCAGCTTCATCATTACCTCAAATTGGTCGGGCAAGTCTGGCTAGTCCAGCACTTCCTCCAGAAGTCAATGATCCAATCTCCTTGATGAATGAAAGATCTATTTTGGGTCTTCCGTTGTTTGTAAAACTCGTTCCTTTTGCTGTTCATCAGGCTCATAGTGTATATTCCGATCGTAAAGAAAGATTGGTAAAGGAAGAAATCTTATTTAAATTGAACGAGTTAACAAGTATCTGTAACAGGTTTGAATAAGTTATTAAAATGAAATTAGATGTGTATATAATTTAAAAAAGCTAACAAATTCATTGATTTTGTAATTAAATTATTATTAGTACATTAAAATCCCTAAATTTATCTTCTTTATCGCTGGAAACAGATGATCAGATAATTCCACAATTAATATTGGCAAATTCACAAGATGTTCGCAATGAAGGTGGTGTAACAAGACTGAATGCAATGTTTGATAGCATACAAGATGCATCTCCAAATAACAATCAAATTTTAGATGAGGTTTGTTGTTAATTTTCGACTGAATCAAAAATTTTTTTTTGCGAAATTAATGATTAGCTTAATTTGGTTTTTGTAGGCATTAAATATTTTAGATCAAGAGGCCATGGAGGATGAAGAATGGGAAAAGAAATTTGGAGAAAGATGGACAAGAAAGAAATCTACTGTAGCTAATAAAGATTTGATAGATCAAGGGTTAAATTATCAACAAATTCTTCAACAAGCGCTCAAAGGTGACTTGGCAGTCAAAAATAAATTAGAGCAATGGAGTCAACACATTGAATCATTAGGTTCTGATAGGGTGAGTATTTTTTATTCATTTACTTTATTACTTCATTTTTTATTAATTAATTAATTAATTAATTATCATTAATAGGAAACTATTAAAAAAACCATTCAATCAAGTTTCACTTTTGATGCATCTGCACAATCAAATATTAAAAATCGGAACAATGAGTTACGGAATCTTATAAATGAAGCCCATGCTAATATTGGAGAACGTAATAAGAATATTGAAGAAATTAAAAAAGTTTCTAATCTAGATGACATTGGTATCTATATCAAATATTAAATATCAAATATCACATGAAAATAAAAATTTTTGCAGCAATTCTTAACATAATTTATTAAAAAACTTTAGGTCCTAAATTACTCAAAGAGGCTGCAAAAATTACTGCTAATGGTACTGCGATAAAAATCGAGCCGGCGCACTTTGAAGAACTGTTCATTGAAGAGTTGAAAAAATATGATAAATATTTGGAGCTTGTTCAGAGTGAAACTGAAAATCAAGAAAAATTGTTAAGCAATATTGAGGTAAATAAAAATAGTTAAATGCTGTTTCTTTCAATGAATTCTTTTTTTTAAAAAAATCCACATTTTTATACTTTTTAGAGAAAATACCACGAGTTAACAGAAGAACGTAATAGAGTAATGAATACTTTTGGAAGGACAGAAACACTTGAGAAATTTAATACGGCATATCAAAAATTCAAAGAAATACTATCAAACTTACAAGAAGGAATCAAGGTATATATTTATATATTTCATTTGGAATTTATAATCTTTAATCTTAACCAATTTTATACAATTTTATATTTAGTTTTATCGCAATTTTGAAACTACTTTGCGGGAATATAAAAAAAAGTGTCAAGAATTTGCAGCCTTTCGCCATAAAGAAGGATATGACATTGTCCTGTAAGTGCACCTTTAGTTAGGTTAAGCTTTTATAGATGTGCAACGAATCTGATAATATTATTTCCTCAGTAAATTGACATCTAGTACTATTGATAAGACCTGGAGCAAAGGTACACCTATAGTTTACTCGTCGCAGACTAATTCACAACAATCCTCTGGAGTTTAGAACCGGGTTGTAGTAAACCGGATCACCCGTGTCAAAACGGTTTAATCTTGTCAAAAGTTTACAACTCGGGTCAAAACGGTTGAATATGTAACATCTAAAAATCTATTATTACACCGAAAAAATAAAATTTAACTCATTATTTATTGTATTGTGAACAAAACACCCTTGTTTTCTTATTACTAAATGTTCAATCCCGCTAATCTAGTGAACTTGATATCCCTCAGCTTAAAATCACTATTAAGCTATATTTTTTTTCATCCTAACACATTCTAAAAAAATCTGGTCTAGTTTGGAACTTTGAAAATTTTGAGTATACAGTATACCACACATAGGTTACTAATTTTCTTTCATCTTTGATCCATTTTGCACCATCTTCTCTAGTTTTTTGATAGTAATAACCCCGTCTTTGATATTTATCTGCATGAATATTGCAAAACTCATAGATCGAATATATTAACTTACCACATTCTTTATAAGACATATGTAATAAAGAATTGCAATAAACTTAGTATCCTTTCTGCCAATAATATTTTTGATTGTATACTTTCCACTTCTAAGGATATAAAAACAACAATAAAATTCTATATCTTTTTTTTTGTTAAGTTGGAGACTTTACTTGTACATTGTATTATATATTTGTCATATATGATTAGGAAGCTGACAAATATTAGCCCTTCTGGGATTTTGAATTTGACCACCCAGGGTCAGTTATTTGACTAATATAAATTGCTATACGTGATACAATCGAATTTAGCACGTGGCAAAATCGAATTTATCACATTTGTACAATAAAATATGTGATAAATTTGAATTTATCACATATTTTGTTGTATAAATAAAATAAATGCAATTTTGTCACGTGCTAAATTCATATAGCAATTGATATTAGTCAAATGACTGACCCTGGGCGGTTAAATTAAAAATCTCAAAGTGTTATAATTAAGGGTAGGGGTATGTAGATCATTTTTTAATAGTAATCACGTTGTATATCATATGATATCATGTGATTAACCAATTAGAATTATAAAAATCATCAATTCGACCAATCAGAATTAGCAATTTTTGTACTACCTCAGAAAATTTGAGTTAATCTCAGAAAACATTACAGTATATATAAGTATATTTTTCTAGAATAGTATTGCCTTTAAAAATTTTATCACAATTAATAGAGGTTTGGATTTATATGTCACGAAATTTTGGTAAAATATAACTGTGAATTCAAGGATTTTGTTAATGGCGTATTTTGTGTAATCTATATAAAATTTCAATATATCATGCAGATCATACGAAAAATGATTGACATACCCCCTACTCTTAATCAATATTTGTTAGCATAGAGGACATTCGTATCCGATAATTTCTGAGATCGATATTACACAAGTACTTATACAAAATAGTTTAAAACCAGAAATTTCGGGTATAAATAAACTTTTAAAAAACAAAACCAATCACGCAATACTTTACTAATAAAATAGCTTCGTAGAGAACATCTTTTCAAGAAATTTAAATTGCATCACACTGCATCATGCTGGAAAAGGTTGTTCTGCTAAAGGATGAAGTATTATTTACTTTATTGTAAGAGGTAATAAAAGTATATTGTATTGCTCAATTCACAAAGTTCGATGTTGTTTTGTTAGTTTTTTTTTTGTTATTTAAATTAACTTAGTAACTTTTATTTTCGAATTTCTGCAGGCTTATTTTAAAGTTATAATATTTCTTAAAAGATATTTAACATGATAAAATTATTTAACATATACAATAGTGATAATATAATTTTATTAATAATTACGTAAGATTTTAAGAAAAACTATTGAAAGATGTGTAACTGGTTACTAAAAACCTTATAAAATAAAATATTTGCAATTGTAAAATTGCTATTAGAGTGTGAGTGAATAGTTCAATTCTTTTACAACGTGAGTTATTGTACTTTGAAATTAAAACGAAAGAAATTATAATAGATAAATAATGCACATTGATTGGCTGCTTAGTTCAATGAATATCTATCTGTTTTGATCATGTGTTGGTAAAGCCGGTTTCTGATTGATCAAAAATCTTATAGCAAAGCCCGTGCTTTTCTGAAAAATACAAATGTCTCCCATGCTATATTTGTCAGCTCCCTTATATATACCATATATTACCAAAAATAAGTAACACTGGCCTGCATTATACTAATTTTGGTCTGCATTATAATTATTTTAGCTAGCATTATATGCAAAAAGGGGTGCTTATTTTCGGTAATATATGGTATTTGAATTTATATTAATCCAGAGCTTAGATTATTTTTATCTATATTTCATATCTACTGAAGTTAATATTTCCATTTATGTATTATCCAGATTTTGCTTACCAACTAGCTTTATTTAGTTAAGTAGAAATAATATAATTATGTTATTTCCACTTAGTCTAAGTTATTTCTATTCAGATATATATCATAATGACAGAAATCTAACATTATCATCATATGTTATAATAACAAAAATCTAATACCATTGTCATATATCATAACGACAAAATCTAATACTATCATTATGTGTCATAATAACAAAAATCTGATATCATCAGTGTCATGATATATATTTTATGACATATAAATAGGTAGACAACTTGTTTACTCTTTAGAAAGTCAATTTAATAATGTTTTAATCACTTATATTAAATTTCATATATTGGCTTAATATTTTTAATCAATCTTCTTTAAAAAGAAATATCTGACTTAGATTATGATGCCCTAGCCTAATCCTTCTGCATTTTCTATTATAACCTAAATTATTATATATTTGTTTATCATTCTCAACTGATTTTTATTGCAATAAAATAGCTGAGTTAGGTTATACAACTGGATTGGCTTTATTATGAGCTTGATAACCTAATTGTGATTATATTATTATTTGTAGAGGTATATAGCTAGAGTGTATATTATCTAATTTGTTATATATATACTATATATAATCTAGTCATATTATATATATACTAGCTAGTTATACTATCGATTAATGCTATTAAATATATATACTAAATATATTATATAAATACTATCAATAAAGTTATTATGTATATGCTATCAAAATATACTATTGGGTTATACTATCAAAAAATGCTATTAAGTATATTATATAAATATTATTAAAAAGTATTATCTCATTATACTATCGAAAATATAATCACTTATATTTGCTATCCTAAAATGTGTTTAAAATAGATCTGCTTATATTCTAATAAAAAATTTGTTCAGATTTTGTTCAAATAAAAAAAGTTAATTTGAACAGATAATTTTATAGAAGAAAAGATTTAATTTTGTTTTAATTTGTTCTTCTATACTTGTTATAATTCCATCTAAGTTGTCTAAGTAAAAAATAAAATTCTAAAAAAAATATTTTCCTATGTTATACAATATATATATATCTTAGATATACCCTATATATGCAATATATATACAAAGTATACTGTAATATAGCAATACAGGGTTTTAGTAAAAGCTATACTACTTGATTTAATATATAAAAGAGTTAAAGAATGTGTTTGTAAACAAGAAAAGAATAAAATAAATAAAAAACTAAAAGAGACTTTAAAGTAAAACAATAAATCAAAAATAAAGAAAAAAAGCAATGGCTCTAATCCTAAAACACAATAAAATACTCAAGAAAAAGAAGAAGAGATGATGGCTCAACTCAATATACCAAAAATAAATACTCAAAGAAGAAAAAAGAGGTAATAGCTTAACTTTAAATATATAATAAAAACATAATAAAAACTTTATTAAACACAATAAAAAGAAGGTAGCTAATGGGACAGATACAGGATGTAGGTGAGATTTTTCAGATCATGTAAAAACCTGGCCTCTAATTACTTCCCAATTAAGATTGGGAGTAAATTCTCTTCTGAGTTATACAGATCATATATATACAACTTCTTTTTTATTTATATCTAACTTTTTTTTGTGCTATCAAAACTTTACTGCCTTTTTTGTTACTAGAGTCATCATTTACTGGTGCTTTTTTGCATCACTAATGTCATCATCGCTTACTAGTGCTACTTTTAGTTATTAGTACCATTGTTATTTACTAGTGCTTCTTTTCATCGTTTAGCCGGTGTCTCTTTTCGAATACTTCTTTAGCTCTAATATAAATTCGAAAATTAAACCTTACAAAAAAAAGAAAGGTTAGTTCAAGTCAAAAAAAAATATAATGTAAGAAAAAATACTTGTCTTTTTAAACTCAGCTTCCATCTTATTGTTTACATTTCATCGTACTGATTTATTTCTTTATTTGTTATATCGCAGAATTAGTATAAGAAGTACTTGTGCGGTTTAGGATTAGCGTTAGGATTAGCGTAGTATTAGTATAAAAATAGTTTAATTAGTATAGAAATGGTTTAAGTAAAGAATTATGCAAAATAAAATAATTTAAAATAAAACAATTTAATCAAATTAAAAGAAAAAATAAATAGCTTACTGTATAGTGTTTCAAGAAAA